GTTGGCAAGAGACTTGAACCTAGAGTGGCTCCCAGGAGCCCAAGGCGATACCCCCAGTTAGTCCCTTGGGAAGCTGAAGATAGGGAACCTGAAATGACCCTATCCTATAGCAATACTGACGAATATCTTCCATATCACCATAGAACCTTCATCTGGTGATGGATAGAGATAGAGACAGAGACCCACACTGGAGCACTGGACTGAGCTCCCAAGGTCCCAATGAGGAGCAGATGGAGGGTTAACACTAGCAAGGATGTCAGGACCACGAGGGGTGCACCCACCCACTGAGACAGTGGGGCTGATCTATTGTGAGCTCACCAAGGCCAGCTGGACTGTGACTGAAAAAGCATGGGATAAAACTGGACTCTCTGATCATGTCGAACAATGAGGGCTGATGAGAAACCAATGACAATGGCACTGGTTTTTGCTCCTACTTCATGTTCTGGCTTGGTTGGAGCCTAGCCAGTTTGGATGTTCACCTTCTTAGACATGGACAGAAGGGGTAGGACCTTGGACTTTCCAGAGGGAGGGAACCCTGATGCTCTTTGGACTGGAGAGGGAGGGGGAGAGGAGTGGGGGGGAGAGGGAAAGGAGTGAGGGAAGGGAGAGAAGAGTGGGAGGAGGGGGAGGGAAATGGGAGGCTATGAGGAGGCAGAAACTTTTTTCTTTTCCTTTTCTCAATAAAAAATATATCAACATAGAAAAAATAAGAAAAAAGAAATGAAAAGGGGGGTATAACCACAGACAGAGAGGAAATTCAGAGAATCATTAGATCTTACTACAAAAGCCTGTATGCCACAAAACTGGAAAATGTAAAAGAAATAGACACATTTTTAGATAAATACCATATACCAAAGTTAAACCAGGACCAGGTGAACAACCTAAATAGACCTGTTAGTCGTAAAGAATTAGAAGATGTTATTAAAAACCTCCCAACGAAAAAGAGCCCAGGACCAGAAGGTTTCAATGCAGAATTCTACCAGAACTTCCAAGGAGACCGAATACCTATACTCCTTAAGGTATTTCACAATATAGAAACAAAAGAGTTATTACCAAATTCCTTTTATGAAACTACAGTTACTCTGATACCAAAACCACACAAAGACTCTACCATGAAAGAGAATTACAGGCCAATCTCACTCATGAACATCCACGCAAAAATCCTCAACAAAATACTGGCAAACCGAATCCAAGAACACATTAGAAAAATTATCCATTATGATCAAGTAGGCTTCATCTCAGAGATGCAGGGCTGGTTCAACATACAAAAATCTATTAATGTAATTCACCATATAAATAAACTGAAAGAACAAAACCATGTGATCAGTTCATTAGATGCTGAAAAAGCATTTGACAAAATTCAACATCCCTTTATGATAAAAGTCTTAGAGAGATTAGGGACAAAAGGGTCATACCTAAATATAATAAAAGCTATTTACAGCAAACCAACATCTAACATCAATCTAAATGGAGAGAAACTCAAAGCCATCCCACTAAACTCAGGAACACGACAAGGCTCTTCAATATAGTGATTGAAGTTTTAGCAATAGCAATAACACAACATAAGGAGATCAAGGGGATTTTGTTGGAAAGGAAGTAGTTAAACTTTCATTATTTGCAGATGATATGATAGTGTACATAAGCGACCCCAAAAACTCCACCAAAGAACTTTTATAGCTGATAAACACCTTTAGTAATGTGGCAGGATACAAGATCAA